AATAACTGCTTATTAAAACCAAGGTTGACGTCACTGTATTCTGTTTGCACCTATATCTTTATTTGTGCTTCTTTGAGGTACATTATTGTTAGTTAATAAGCGGGGATGTTCTGTTTATGTTTATGGGCTTCAACGACGTAGGCTTTTTGTAATGTGCCTCTTTTCCTTATTATTAATCTTTATTGTTAATCATTAAATGTATATTGATAAGAAATGTGATTTATATGTAAAGTGTATAGGCTAATTTAGTTCAGTGACGTTCTACAGTGTTGTAATCGTTTGTGTTTTCTATATTTCTTTGTGGAAATCACACAACACACACACATAAACACATAGCTACACATGAACGCTCTTTTCCAACAGAAGCTTGTAACGCACATGATATCAGTCACAGCATATAATGACTACTAAAAATTACAAATTATATAATTTTCTTTCGAATAAAATGAAAATTGAAAGTGAGTTGAATCCAAGCAGCTCTAAAAGATTTTAGAATAGTTCTGCATCCTGAAGGCGCTCCGCCTGTGTTTGCAGTGTTGCTTTGACCATTTAAACACGCTAATTACACAAACAAAATGTTTAGCGTACTGTCTCTGTAAATAAACCGTGATTGATCAGCCTAGGCGAAGCAAAATTTGCTGAAATATCCACGACCTAGGCTACAGTAAGAGCGCATGGTTTATCTGTCCATCAGATGCGTGTCAAAGTTGAGTTTGTTACTATAACAACAGTAGATCAAACAATCATTGTAAAAAAAATTTTAAAAACTTTGTCGAGATAACGAGAAAATTAAGTCGTTATAACGAGAAAACAACTTTCGTTATGTAGAGATAACGAGAAAACGAGAAGAAAAAAAAATATTGCATGGCCACTTAGAACTTCCACGAAGCGGAGTCCAGCCCGGAGTCGTCACATGTCCTTCCGGATGCTCCTTTGTCGAAATCGCCAGCCGCGCCGTTCTCAAGCTCACCGCCTCTGCTCACTCTAACCCTCCGGCCGTTCCACACGTTAGCCCCCGGCCTCTGCTCGCTGTAGGCCGCGTGTGTGACGCTGTTTCGTTGTGAAAGCGAAACTACTTTATTTGGCCTTCCAAAAATGGACACGACTAGAAATCAGTGGTTAAGTTGTATTTACAACACTGTTCCAGAACACTTCAACCCAAATATTCAGATGTGTGCAGCACATTTTATGGAGGACTGTTTACTGATCCTGGGAGAGTAGACTACAATGCCGGCTGTTCTGACTCAAAGACTGTAAGTAAGTTTTTTTATATTTAAAGAGTTTTTATATTTTATATATTTAAAGCAAGTTTTTTGGGCAGTGTAGTGTGGGGCTTGTTGTTTGTCATTTCTCTGATCACAAATGCAGACATGGTTTTATGTTTACGCGGCGCAATGCAATGCAATGCAACGCGTAAAAAGACAGTAGAAGTCATAATAATCCATAATTATGTCCCCACTGGATGCAACGAATGCCTCGTTTATAATGGGTTTTCATGTTTTTGAATCATCGCTCCGGCCTGACAGGGCATCATCACAATATGGTGAGGGGCGTAACATTTCCGTCACACGCTTGAGGTATCCAGCCAATCACAACGCACTGGATAGCTGGCCAATCACAGCACACCTCGCTTTTTCAAACCGATGAGCTTTGTAAAAATCGACGCGTTTCAGAAAGGCGGGGCATAGAGGAGAAACAATAATGTACAGTATGTGGAAAATAATGTGTTTTTTTAACCTTAAACTGCATAAACACATTTCATTACACCAAATACTGTTCTTTTTAGCAACATCATAAGTTTAAGTTAAATTTTTTTAGATAATGTTATATTATTATTATTACTGTTGTTATTATTATTATTATTATTATTATAGCTTCATTTCAATTAAATAATGATACGGCATTTTAGACACCGACACCTAGTAATCCACACTACTATTATTATACAAAAAGTATGCAAATATTTCAGTCACCAACACCATTGTATAAATGTGCTAATCGCAGTCAGTCATGATTAATGTATTGCGCAAGTGTCTATAAAATGGGGGTTACCATGATGAAGTGAGTAGTATTCAGCATGTCATGTGATCACAACATTGCGACCCATGTACAACAAAACAACTTTTATTAGGCTCCTGAATATGACTGAAGTCTCATCTCATGCAAGTGTACAACTAGCACAGAGCAGAAGGATAGAAATGGCAGCTATTCACCTTTACAGTGACATGTGCGGGACCCTGGCAGGGCTGTCCACCTTTGCCACGGCACTCTAACTGCATTGAAAGTTGGTCTTCTCGGTTTATGTAGAGCTGCGGCAACACCTCCAGCAGTTCACTGTCTAGAGCGACCTGCTGTGTTTCCCGGACCGTTGCCAACCTGAGAAGAGGACACAGTTGTGATTTACAATGTAATTTAGCACATACGGAGATGCAAATACAGCACTACAGCTTATCACAGAGTAATTTGAGAGGCACCGGTTATTAATCACGGCACAGAAGACTTACTTAACATGCACTTATGGGCTGTAAGTGAGTTCTGACAATCAATACATGCTTACTACAAGTCTTACTTGGCTTGATGCTGGAGCTTAGCAAGGTCTTCCTGAATTAAGGCAGTGGAGATTTTCTCATCAGACAGACTCTTAGTGGGAATATCAGGCACTGGAGCCTTCATTGGCACAAGTAACAGCGCCCCCTGGGGGGCATCATGCTTTCTCAGATGAGTGAGAATACGCTGCCTTGCTGTAAATAAACAGATGAGGAATAATATTATTTAGTGTAAAAAGTAAAATCTGCTGTACAATGAATCGGTACAGCAAACTGTGACAATCACTAAGTTATAAATATCTAACATCCAAAAAGACATCTAAACGTCTTTTTATTATATAAAACTATAAATTGAACATGCTCAAAAGGTTTTTTTTTTTTTTACATAAATGCAGTCTCTGATTTAGAAAGTCATGCAAGCTTTTAATAAATGTGTCTGAAGCAAACAACTGTAACATTCCTAAAGAGTAGTCCTGTTTTCATATTCTGACTGTTATAAATAAGAGAATCCAGACATCAGAGTATGATGGGCTCAGTACCAGCCAGAGGATTGATGAAGTCAGTGAAGATGGAGAAGCTGGTGTTCTGGGAGGGTGCAGGTTCACTCTTGACCTTTGACCACAGACTGAGCACTTCCTGCAGCTCATACTGGACTCGCTCAATGTCCACATGCTCCATCCACACCTCCTAAAGATGAAGTGACACACAGACATGGCATCAGCTCATATCTGATAATGTTCTGTGTCAAAGACGTCTTCAGTATCATTTGAAAATATGCATCTGAACAAAAAAATAAAATAATGACCTATATACCTGTATATAAGGATCTATATACATGACTTTTATCAGAAAATGTTTTGATGCATTTTTCCATGCATTGCTAATGGTTTAATGCAAATGACAAATGTAATTCTTCTAGCTCTTATATCTGATTACATACAGTATGTTTTTATTTTTAACAACTTTCTCCACCATATCTGTTGAAGTTATGAAAAATGTGGCAGAATATTTTTCAAATGTCCGAAGAAAGCATGTGCAAAATATACAATAATACTACTGTTTAAAGGTTCAAATGTTTGAGGTCAGTCTTTTTTAAAGAAATTAATACTTGTATTTCGTATGAATGCATTAAATTGAAAATAAAGACATCTTCATTGTTACAAAAGATTTATATTTAAAAATTCTTTTGAACTTTATATTTTGGAAAATTGCATCACGTTTCCACAAAAACATTAAGCAACTGTTTGCAACACTGATAATAATAAGAAATGTTTGTTGAGCACCAAATCAGTATATTAAAATTATACTACAGATTTATATTTAAATGAAGTATACGAACACTGAAGTAGTGGTTGCGAAAACATTCAACTTTGTCGTTACCGGAATAAACTACATTAATTTATTACAGTTTTTAAATTATAATAATATTTTACAATATTACTGCTTTTACTATATTTATTGATCAAATGCAGCCTTGGTGAGGATATGAAACTACTTTCAAAAACATTTACAAAAATCTCACCAACCCCAAACTTTTTGACATATAGATCTGTTAAATAGACAGCTTAACATTTTATTTTTTAATTGTAAGGGATTGTTTTAAATCACATTTTCATTCAAAACAATCTACTAAATCCTTTGATGGCTCAGACCTCTTAAAGACAAAAAGATAAGAAAGAATGCATTCTGCTGGACTCAAACAAACCCTCACCTGCTGGCGCTGCATGATTTTTGCTAGGCGATGGGTGTCATACTGCTTTGGCAAAGAAGGCAAATACATTTCTTGCTTCTGAAGGTTTTCATCATCCAACCACAAAGCAAACACAGTGAAGAGCCTGAACAACAAGAGTTAGACATAAAAAAAGTAGTTTCTGTACAAGCAGTAAGGCTGAATGATAAGGCTTCTGTTTACAAATTAACCAAAAATGGTCACATTTTATTTTGTGTTGAACTTGAGCGTGATACAAATTAAGAACACACAAGTACACACATCTAGAAAACAATACCAATTAAAGTTTCTTTCAGATGCTTAATACTCAATTGTACACAATAGTAAATAGAATAATGGATGTTGAGAGAACAAAACTCTGAACATTACCGCACGAGCTCAGTGTGCAGCTCAGGAGAGGTCATGTACTGGGTGATGGGCGTCCCTGGGGTGAGCAGACCATCACTGGCTTCACCGCTTGAGCAGGGCACTTTCAAAGCCTTGCTTGCAGCGTGGTGGAAGTCAGACACTTCAACAAGCCGCTGTCTGAGGCTTTTTAACAAGGATAGATGGGCCGCACTATGGAAGTAACGCCTTCCAATACAACCTTTCACCTCCAGCCTAATGGTGCGAAATAAGAAAAAAGAAAGAAATCAGACGCAAGGGTTCAGAAAAAAAAAAAAAACCACAGTACCACTCATGCAGTTCACAAATATTATACTTTACGCAATATACAAGGCAAAATAAACATTAATTTGATCATTACTGCAAAATGACCCTTAAGTGGGTCATCAGGACCCTGAAACACAGCATTATCCAAAAAATAAAAAAATAAATAAACAAATACATAACATACATAAAATACTGAGTTGTGCTGGAATTATTTCATTATTTTGAAGGAAAGGGATTGTGGAGTTAAAGTATTTCAGAGTCATGTCATAAAAACTGATATTGTGGAGATACAAAAATAATAATATACTGACAAACACAGGACATGAAATGCATCTGACATTATGTTCAACACATATCAGAGAACAGAACATAGAAGTTGTGTAAGTCAAAGAGCTGGAACATCAGTCATGTGAGTCATCAGTACTGCTACATAAAGCTTAGAGTAAAATCTGGTGAAACATGAAATGAGTGAAATCATCAATAAGAAAGGAGTACAAAAAGGGAAATGAGGGGGAGGGAGAAAAAAGAAGAACAGGGTGAACATTTTCACTTGAATATAGCATGTACAATATGTCCTTTGAATCCAACATGCATTATGTAACAACTGCATTTTAGTGAAGTGAAATAGCATGATAATATGTCTAAAAAGTTTGTCAATCTTTATTTTAAGATGCCAGATAAAATCACAATAACAAGCCAAATAAAGACAGAATGCTTTTGTTTAACGCACCCAAACTCTGGTCCAGGCTGACAGAGGTAAAGTTGGAAAAATTTCTGCCACACCAAAGGCAGGAGTGGATGATCTGCAGGGGTAGCTAAAGCTTGTTGAGCCCAGCGATAAATCATCAGTCTCTGTAGGGACGGGACGACCTGAAGCTTAAGGCGCACCTGGGCTTTCTGACAAACCGGGGGAAAAAAAGAAAAAAAACAGGCACGTTTATTGTACTACAAATGTATAAAAACATGTACAGGTACCCAAACCTTTTGACCAATTATTTTCTATTATCTTTTCATGATTAATGGTTACATGGATTTTTTTGTAATGTTTGAAATTACTTAATTAAAAATATCACCAATAAGACAAAATACATAGCCTCAGAGGCAGGGGTCTCCAACCTTATTTCATTCGGGAGCTACTTTTTAAAAATGAAAGCGGCTGAGAGCTACCAATGTTATACAGTACTTAAATCTCTTAAATATGTATCAATCCAAACTGTTATACACAGATTTGTTAAAATGTGCTGGAAATATTTAAAAAGTACTGATACACACACTGAAATAAATTTACCAAGTTTTATGACAAAAGACAACAAATAAAATTAGCAGCACTATGCACTTTTTGTTTGCATAAACAGTGAAATAAAACATTAAAAATTGATGGCCAGATTTTAAACTAACAAAAAATATTCATAACATGTTATCTACTGACATGTACTACACGTTCAAATAAAGTTTTGACAATTTTTAAAAAATAAAATTATAACATATCAGCCTTTAAATCTTTTTTTTTTAAATAAAAGGATGATAAATAAAATTGTATCTGCTCCATAAACAGTTCTACATAAGCTAATGTGCATTCTAAAAATCTCAACACTTCTGATAACAAAGTAGGCTATTTTCCATCGACCGGTTAAGATTTATACAACAAAAATTTGGTCTGATTTTCGCATTGGTCTGAACAAAAATGTGGCAGACAGACTGAATGAATTTGTAAATCCACAGTTTGACCGCAGGTGGCGCTTATGAACGGCAGAACAAGAGCTGTTTTTACGGTAACCTCTGTAAACAAAGATGTGCTGCAATCACTGCTTTATTACGCATTACACGGAGCGAATATGGAAAGCAAATGCCATCAAAACTTTTCTGAAGACAGTCGGTTTCCTATTATGCATTCACACAAATAATGAAATAATATATTCTTTCATATAATTTCCCTCAGCAGTCAGCCTTCAGTCATGTTTTCACACAAAACGAAACTACGTGTTGCGCCTGTGTGAGACTCTTAATAACTATTATTAAAGCTGAACTGTATTTACTGTGAGTCTTTCAAATCGCGATAATCAAATACGGGTTTAATATTAATTAACCTCACGGCCAATATGTCAATATGTCTTCTCGAGCTACCTCCAATCAGCGACATAAGGGAATATGGGACATGAGTTGGGAGGAAAAATTTAAGTTAATTTGCTCACAAAAAGTTTTGCATAGCCCCAAGAAACTTTGCGTTAACAAAAAAGAAAATCCTCACATTTCATGTTTATTTCATAACCATGTCTCCTTAGGGGCTTCATAATGAAAAGACTGATGTATCTAAAGTTCTACTCTAAAGAACCACCCACAAAGTGAAAAATCTAGACATTCTAAAACAATTTTAACATTCCCTGATAATTTTAGGTGTGCTCAAAATGTTCTCTTTGATGTGACTGCACATGATAATTGTACTGGAGTATGAGCAGAATGAAAGTGTACCTTCAGAGCCTGATCTGGTGTGTAAGCAGGGTTCGAGAGGAGCTCATGCTCCACACAGCGTCGCAGCTGAGAGTCTTCCTCGAACATTGTCTCCATGTTGAGGACCAACCAAGCAAACCACACCTTGAGACAAAATAAAAACACGGAGAGGGAAATTATGACTAAAAGTATTCAGATCTAGATGAGCTATTTAAGCAATAACTCGCACATACCTCCCCTGTGAGAGAACTGCCCTCAATGAAGGATGGAGTGATATTTCCTGCCACTATCCAGCCCATAAGAGATGACAGCAAACCCTTGTCTCCATGGAAACCTAAAGCACTCTAAAAGGCAAATCCAAAAACACATTACAAAAAAGTAGTTTGCTTTAAGCCATTTGTTAAAAGAAGTAACAAATCCAAGAGTAGAAAACCTTATGTTGTTGGTAGAGAAGTTTCTGGAGACATTCCTCTTGTTGGTGAAGAAATGCAGCACGGCACAGGTGGTCCAGAAGGCAGAGAACAGCTTTGTCTCGATACCAGAGGTTCTGTTCTGTCAAAACCTGAAGCCAGAACTCAAGAACAGCTACTGCACCAACGCACCCGGGCCTGGAGCTCTCCAGAATATGAGCCTGAAGGACAGGAAGATCTTTCCATGATCTTAAAAACCTTCAGGTTTTTCTTCAGTTCAGGTTTTAGTTGAATGGTTTTGTATTTAAATTTTAGTTAATTTTTATGTATACAAAAGTATGAAGTAAGATTTAATTTTGAAAAAAAAAATTTCAGCAAGGATACATTCAATTGATCAAAAGTGACGGTAGACATTTATGATGTTACAAAAAATTTCATTTCAAACAAATGCTGTTCTTTTAAACTTTCTGTTAAAAATTCTGAAAAGCATATTAGCATATTAGAATGATTTCTAAAGGAACATGTGAAATGGAAGACTGCTGGAATAGCTGCTGATAATTCAGCTTTACCACAACAGAAATGCATTTAATTTTAAAATATATTAAAATGGATAACAGTTTTTTTTGCTCAGTTATAATAATATTTCACAATATTACTGATTTCACAGTATTTTTGATCAAATAAATGCAGCCTTGGTGAGCATAGGAGACTCTCTAAAAATTCTCTAAAATAAACATTTAAAAAGTAGTGTACATTTTTTAATGGGTGAGTTGGATCGGATAATAAAGAAAAAGAGTAACAAATGCCCAGTATATATGTGACCCTGAACCACAAAACCAGTCATAAGTAGCACGGGTATGTTTCTAGCAATAGCCAACATTACATTGTTTGGGTCAAAATGATCAATTTTTCTTTTATGCCAAAAATCATTAGGATATTAACTAAAGATCATGTTTCATGAAGATATTTTGTAAATTTCCTACCGTAAATATATCAAAACTTAAATTTTTGATTAGTAATTTGTATGGCTAAGAACTTAATTTGGACAACTTTAAATACTTAGATTTTTTTTGCACCCTCAGATTCCAGATTTTCAAATAGTTGTATCTCGGCCAAACATTGTCCTATCCTAACAAACCATACACCAATGGAAAGCTTATTTATTCGGCTTTATAATAATAAAATGATATATAATTATAGATTATGTATAAATCTCAATTTAACACATTTAACACATTTCAAAATCCCACCTGGATCACACTGTTAAGGAGTTTGATGTTCTCACATGTAGAGGTGCCAATCAGATGCTGGGCCACCTTCTGTGTAACCTGCTGGGTCACACCCTGTGTCCCACTATCCAGCTGCAAGAAGAGCTGGATACAGCTCAGAAACCTGATTAACATTTAGAGAGAAGCATTAGTATTGCTTACATACCTACAACAACATATTAAATCATTATTTATGCTGTAAATTAAAAAAAAAAAATTCAAGGATGATGTAATGTCTAACGGAAAGTGATAAATATATGACAATATAAAAATAAATGTTCTTAACTGTTCATTTTTGAGCAGGTAGAACTGGCAGTGGTAGACCAGAGGAAGAATGTTTTCCAGTATGTGCACTACAGCTTTGAGATGACGGGACTGAACCATAGTCTTCAGAAGAGAAATTCCATCACTGCAGAACTTCTCCAAACTGTCAAATGCAAAACGTTGAAAATGAATTCATGTCACTAGATTTGGATTTTCATCCAGCTTGGAACATTACTGTTGATGAATCAGTCAGTCTATGGTCAGTACACTTCATCTATTAGAATCAAAAGAGTATATTCCTTCCAAACCTGTGCCCGATGGTGGTCATGTCAATAGCCAGAAAACAGCCGATGGGTATGCCCGCTTTGACTGCTTTGAACACTGGGTGCATGGTGGGAGAGTCTGTGATCTCAGGCACAATGGGAGCGCTGGAGGAGAGACGAGGGCACCAGGCATCCTGAGGACTTATTTTATTGATATGGAGCTTTAGCCTAAGAACCAGATCCCAGGCCCACTGGTTAAAGGAGGATTCTGGAGTCTGGCCGAGCCGCACCATGTTAGCCAGGTAAGACACCTGCAGAGAGTTATGCAGAAAATGTGAGCTGATAACAGTACAAATGGTACTAGGAAGAAAATGTTCATTCTTTGAGGAAACTTTTTAAATATTAAGGGGCTGATCAAACTTTTGGCTATTATTTCGGCTGATGAATGGGGGTGAAGCACTGCAAACTAGGCTTTTTACATAGATTAATACAGTCTGTATTAGCTTCATTCTGCATTAACCCCCCCCCCACACACACACACACAAAAACAAAGCCTTATCAATGCTGATGACAATCAATGTTGATTAAGAGCCTTATTTCACTATGTGAAACATACCTGTTTGATGCCTTCTGAGAGGATTCCACTATATGGTTTGTCTGTGAGATAATTTTGATATGCCTCAATCACCAAAAGTGCGACTTCACTATGCAAAGATGCTGGTAAAATGAGGCAACCATTCTGTTGGTCAGAGAAAGTTATACTTCTTATATACAACACTTAAAAAAGTGAATTAGTTTGTATCAGGCCTATCAACGACTCATCAGAGAATATCACGATTTAGCACAAAAGTACACTATCCAAGGACACATCTGTTAGATAATAAATCAGCGCTTATATTTCCATATTCATGACTGAGACTCACAGGCTGAAATCCCCAGTTGAGGCCCTCTAGTATGATGCAGGCTAATCTGTTCTCCACAGCAGTGAGACTGAAGTTTAACAGCCAATCTCGGATCAACCCCACCTCAGCTCGAGCTGGAGTCCACAAGTGCAGGGGCAACTCCTTGAAAAGGTACAGTGATACCTGGAGAGATAATTATAATCAGGGTAAATAACAGAATGTATCAGTATTTGCTGAGAAAACCCCCAGATCATTCAAAGACATTTTTGTGGCAGAGGAGTTCAACAGACAATTCAAAAAAGTGGCTTTAGAAGTCAATATATTGTTTGTTTTATTTCCCTATCATTGAAAATAAGCCTATCACCGGCTTATAGTTCATAGAAGTCTTATTTACAACAAAATGTCTGCATCTCTTGACATGACTGACAAAATTTTAACAAGATTAAGCAGTTCAAATTGTATCCAGAGACCCTGCATTCTGTTTTGCTTCATCTACAACAGCTGTACTGAATGCATATTTAGTGTAGCTTGCTTAATTGTTGTTCTTCATCAATCTCTGCTCAGTTCTTATGTATTTGGTGGACTGATGGGTGCTGTAGTTCACTCACCATGCCCACTTTCTCTATGGTCTTTCTCAATCTGTCCAACAGCACAGAGATGATGTGAGGGTGGGCAGTCGCTATAGCAGCAAGCAACTCACGCCCAACTTTAGAAAAGATTTCACGGGTGGCGATACTAACATAGGACACCTTAACGGAAAGCATAATCAAACATTTATTGCACTTAAAACGTCTGGATGATGTTATGATTAGATGATAGATTCATCATAAAGGTCTTCAGTAAAAGTTCAGAAAAAAAGTCGAGTCACCTCGTAAATCTCTAGCACTATGTTCCTGACAAATTCAGGGTCTATGTCGGTACGTCTGGGCTGGGCCATATGTGCAAATGTTGTCAACAGGCAGATTCCATCTGAGCTGTTTATTTCCGACAGCCAGCACTGAAACTTCTCCTGATGACTTGGTTCTGGACATACATAAAATCAGAAAGGTTGAGAACCAGCGCTGTAAACTATTCTTTTTGTGTTCACCAGCATCAGATGTGCTTGGTGTCTCACCTCTGAGCCCCTGGATACAGTCCTCAGCACTCAGGCTACAGCTTAGCTTCTCCAGACCGTCCATCTCTGCACATTGCATATTGTAGAAGATCTTCCACAGCATGGAGCTGGATAATGTGCCATAAGGCATCTCAGACATGAACAGCCATATGCCCAGTCTGTGAATCAATAAAGGTTTAATTAAATAGACACAGCTTCAGAAAGAGATGTGTATAGTAAAGCAAATCTTTTATTGACAGTAAACATAGGGAGGAGACAGAAAAAAATATGTCGAGAGATGGGGGAATGGGATCAGGGCACAATGTAGGCCAGATGTGAACCTACTTTCTCCCTTGTAGGTCCCAAAGCTTAATGTCTGGAGCATGTTTACTAATGGCACTTTTCCACTGCGTGGTACGACTCGGCACGGCTCGGTTTGCGTTTCCACTGAAGTTTAGTATCGCTTTAGAGTGGGCGGGATTATTGACATGTCGTTATAGTTGCGCCGCCTCTACTGCCGCGACTCCTAAAAAACTGTTTCATTCCAGCTTGCTCACCTGATGCCCGCCCTCAGTGCTCTCTAAATACCAACAGCTTGCGTGCTCAACACAGCCCATTACAATGTGCCATAATTCCAGCCAATCAGAGACTAGGCTGCAAAATCCTGCTTGGCTGCCTTGACAACCAATCCCAACATTCCTTGCATTTCCTCGACAGCAGAAGAGGAAAAATTCAGTGCATGCAGAATTGTTATGCAAGTTGATATTCTGATCATATTTTTTTCCCAGCACATTGTATCAATTCTAGGGGTGCTCCGATCAGGATTTTTGAGGCCGATCACCGAACGCCGATCACAGAAAGCAGTATCTGCCGATACCAATCTTTTTAAAGCCTTCTTTTAATTATTTATAACTATTTATAGTGATACTCCAATCAGGATTTTTAGACATTTATTCAGGGCCTGAATTTCATTTTTGAAAATGGAGGGAATTCCCTTCTTAGGTGACTCTTGTGAGAGGGGAAGCAGCATGGACTGTGCTTTCACACAGGAGTCCGCTACTGATCCATGGCTGTTTACCACAAACACAACATTTATCCATTAGTTTGATTTCAAATCCAAACATTGTCACTGAATATGCTTTTTCAGCATTGCAATTATTTTTTTACACAGTACAGTAATACAATATTTCACAGACATGTTTAAACACAATAAATATAAG